GCTCTTGGTAGGTTGGGCATTCTATTGGGTCTTATATTTCCCTCGAAATCTTGAGGAAGTGCTCGGAGAAGGTATAGATGGATTCCTCTTAGAGCCTCTATAAGAATTTCTCTCTGTGTTATATGATCTCTTATATTATATGGATTGCTTTGCAGGTGGTATATTGTATTGGCCTATATCCATTTTTGACTCTGAACCAACAATCGACAAAGCAATCATTAATTGGGAAACTTGCAGCGTGAGCTTTTGTTCTCAAAATATTATGAATCCTCAAATATGAAAGAACCAATAAAATTGTTACGAATGTTATGAAATTGTTACCAAATCATGTTGCTCTCTCTGTTACTATCAAGAGATAGATAAGAAATTGTTGAAATTTCAGGTCTTCTGTTCTGTCAGCCACAGCAAGTTTTCTGATTGCATCACTGAGACTATTACCTATGTGGGCTGCACGGCGGCTTGTATCCAACACCATTGGAGCTTCGTGGTCTGATACTGCTGTTGAAGCTACTTGCACTCACTTGAGGCAGGTATTAATTGTCTTGTTTTCATATTCACTGATTTTCTTAGGTTTTCACTTGAGACCTAATTGTATAAAATCTTCGAAGATAGCCATTGCATCTTCTTTTATCGATATTTTAAGTTCTTGTTCCCTACTAACTATCTAATACGTGTGACTTTCCTTGCAGTATCACACCATGCGCAATGTTCTCTTTATGGCAATGACAGAGTTTAGAGAGGTACGTTTCTTTGACAATGTGTTATATAAAGTTTAGAGAAACTCTGTTTTTGAATTCAAAGCATGCAAACAAAAAAGGAAATCCGAGATGATCTAATACGTGCGACTTTAGCTGATCCGTTGTTTCATCTTTGGCATAATAAGCTCGCAACTGAGCCAGATTGGGATTTCATGAGAGAAAACCAGAGCAAGCTTGCATTTTTATTTGGCATTGATGATCATTGGGGTCCTCTGCAACTCTTTGAAGAGGTTAATTAATTTCTCTTTCTCAATATATTCAACTGCGTTTTCAGACACATAAAGGATAGCCTCTCATACAATCTCCATTGTTCAGATTTCAAAACAGGCTCCGGGTACTTCTTTATCTATCGAGAGGGAAGGTCACACGCACGGATTCTGCTGCACGGTGGCTGGCTCAGTGTGGGCTGCGCAGCACGTTGCCACTCTGATCAAGAACCGGTTTTCGCATCTCCAGTAAAAGTAAATTCCCCTGTCTCTTCTTTAAACCGAATAACCGGTCTGCGAATTTGCATTCTGAACCATCAAAAACCTTTAAAAAAGATGTTTGTAATACTAAAACAGTGTAGTTCAATAACTGTCTTGTAGATTGTAATGTAACTATGTTCTCCCCTAGTTTTTTTTTGGGTTAACAAAAAGAAAAGGAAAATTGTAGAGGAATATGTATTATTTCAACCACAGTATTTTTATCAAATATCAATTGTTGGTCTTCTTCAATTACACTTTTTATAAACCGAAATTTTCAACATTTCTGGAGAGAAAAAAAAAAAAAAACTCTTAATAACAGAAAATGAGGCTATGGAGAATGAGATTGCTTAAGTAGGACGACTGCAACAGAAAGGTGGCATTTAGTGAATGAAAAATAGTAGAAACTGAGATGTTTTAAATTTAATGTAGAGACGATAATACAGAAAAAAATAAGAAGAGATAAACAAAAGAAGAAAAGTTTTTGTATTATCACCATTTTTATTTATTGATCTAACAAGAAAATTAAATATTTTATTCAAGGTTGAATTAAATTCGTATTTATCATTCTTACGTAACGCTCATAATTCTCAACTGCCTCAATTACTATTGCATTTATATTTGATTTTAATGATTTCATTACTTTCAATCTATTGAAGCTAACTACCCCTCTTCAATTTTAACCAACTTTTCACCCCTTTAGTATTATAAAAAAATTACAAAAAAATGAAGATAGATTTTCTAAAAAGGAAATTGGAAGGGAAATTGGGTTGAATAACCCAAACAAAAATTATAATTCAAAATCTACTCAATTAACCTAAATCTAATAATGAATATGGTTATGCCACATGGGTTAATTTTTCTAAAATTGCATTTAGATTTTCACTTTTTTTATTTGGCCATTTGCAGGTCTTAAGGACACAACACCAATTTTTTTCTTTGTCTCTCATTAAGAATGCATTTGTCAGGAAAAAAAATGTCGTTGTTATGTCTTCTTCTTCGTTTTTGCATTCAGCTTTCGGGGTTATTATTAGCTACAAATTTAAGTCTTGAGACTTTGTAATTAGTTTTTCTTAGAAAAATGCATTTTAGGGTTGCCAAATCCAGTTTCATTTTGGATTATTCAATGGTAATTTTTTCACATAGCGAACCAAATTTACATGCCATTCAATTTTTCCGGTACAGTCTGATTTGGCTCGTATTCGAGTTTTAAAACATTAAAATATATTGTTAAGCATAATCTCTACCACTTGTAAGAATGTTTTACCTTTGATTTATTCAATAAACACCGTCAAGTATGTGATCTCTTAGAAACAGAGTAATCAAGAAACAGAGGAAATTACTCTTAGACATCTCCAAGGAACAAAGGTCGAGAAACACATAAGAGAATCAAAACAAGAGTCAATAATTCACTCAAGTATGCTCTAAAAGTGTCAATGATTCACTCAATTTCGGTGTAAGGTCCCTACAAATTCACCGGAATAGCTGAATTACAAGAACTCCGGCGTAACAACAACACATGTTTCATCGTACTAAGCCATAACCAGTTTTAAAAAAAAAAAAATCATATTCCATTCAAAATGCAAAAGTTAGTGCTATTCGCGCTCCAATTCTAAGTATGGTCTAAAAGTGGAGCGTGATTAGCACTACTCTAAAAGACAGAACAACTACGAGAAATAAAAAAAAAAGCAAAAGAAAATACAAGAACGGATTAGTCTATAAATTTCCGTTTGGGATCTTTCGGTTATAAAAAACAAAAGAAGCGGTTGGAGGATTAATCATTTCAAATCCACCTGTTCTTGTTGCGTTTTGTAGTAGCGGCAGGAGCGGTTGTAGCGGCAGGAGCGTTTTGATGAAGGAAATCGAGGAGAACGGTGCTTTTGCATTTAGGACATTTAGGGTCATTTTGAGAAAGCATAACATACATAAGGCAACGAGGACAACCCACAAGGACCATTGAGGTTATTGTGTCGATCTCTTCTTGGTTTGTTTCAGACGAAACGCATGAGCTCGGTGAACTCGTGTTGGATTGGCTCGGTGATCGAACCAGGCTCATCTGGCTAGCTTGAGAAGGAGGCGACGAAAGGTTCAGCTTCAGGTCGAGCTTAGGACCGTTCCCGTTCCTCCTGCTCATCGATCTGTCTCTCTCTTTGGAGTTTGAGAGAGTTTTTTTTTTTTGGTTTTATTGAGAAAGTCTTCTTCTTGTTGGTTCTGGTTAGGCCATTTTATAAAACAAACACACATAAAGTTGTTT